TCTCTACATTTTAAACAATGAGTGTGAAAGAGCAGGCGATGGCGAGGCGCACCGGATGGATTTTATGGTTTATTTTCAATAGCTTGTGTGTTGCATTACGTGAATTAGAGTGCTTAGCTGTTGCTGGGCAACGAAAGCCATCTCAACATTTCCTGTAATCTGTGGCAAAAAAGAACAGCTTTTCACAAATGCTACATGAGGCGTGATGGCCAAAGGGACTCGTACATTTAGCAGACTATCTCCAACTAGACCAGCACCTCATCACCATTGAACAAGCGTGTGCACCTCAATAACTCCTTGACACGAGGCGGCATCTCATTATCAATGAACGAGGTGATAATTCATCGTTATAGATCACATCAAAGATGAAATTCAAATCAAGAATGAAATTAATCGTCAATGAACATGAGAATACACTTCAGCACTGAACAGGGGAACATCACCTCATCACGAAACGCAAGACAACACCTCGTCACTTACTGGTACTACTCACCACTTGAGTCTATATGTTGTCAGCAAACAGCTTGTTATCAATAACCATCATCAATGTTTTCCCTTATAACGACAATCACTCGAGGATGTACATTGATTACGCAGTCATTAGCCATTGTGTATCCACTGCTAGATAAAGGTCAACATCTCGCACGGTACTGTGGTGCTACCATCCATCTCACTCACGCACGTTAACTAATTACCATCGCCCCATCTCCGCCGTGATAGTCGTTCTCTTAGACGCGTTCTCTCATTTGGTGTTCATCGTCCATAATCCTCTCTCGCCACGATGTGTCCTGCCCAAGCCCCTTCCGCTTTCTGACCAATGAGTACAAAACGACACTTCATCACTTGCTGTTGAACTTCACCTAACGTGTCTTCAGCTCATCCAGCTGACACTGAGACCCAGTAAAGGGTTTTGCAGATAAAACATCGTTGGACTGCACTTCTACGCTCCGGCGCCTCTGTTTCCCTGCCGTCACCAACACGCAATGGCAAGCGTGAAGGTCAAATTATTTCACACGACCCGTACGCACTGCGTGGGGTGGCCCTCATTCAGCAGGGGATTGCCAAAAAGGGCTGTTGCTTTGTTGGTTGTAGTTGTTCTTGTGGCAGGACACATCAAGCGAATTCCTGGGGGAGATTACCTACGGCTCTTTAATGACTGCTTCGTGACGTTATTTATTAAGGACCGTCTCGTATTCAAATGCAACGGCGGCTCGTGAAATATTGCGTTTAGCTTATTCGAAAAAAACGTCTCTTATTATTTAGGATGCCAACCCCTGTCCATGACCGTATCACCCGGAATGCGCCCGATCCCGTCAGACTTGGGAAGCCAAGCAGTTACAGCCTGGCTGTGGCTTCCGTGGGCGACCACCGTGCACTAAAACAGGCGGCATGAGCAGTCGACCCACGACCACAGCGGCATGGGTGGCCGTCATCCAGCAGTGGACTGTCAACACATGCTATACACATAGACACGAATACACCCCCCACCACGCGGGAGGCCTAGCCTAGGGTCGCGGCCATATTTCCAGGCGAGATCGGTGCGGTCTCGGCTTCGGGGTGGGGGGACGGGGTGACTCCACGGCAGCGGCGAACGCTGTGGCCGTCAGGACGCGTGTTACCTGCATGGAGTCGGCGCTAATGACCTCCCCGCCGAACCTCCTCGCCATTTCGATGGCGAGCTTGGACTTGCCGGTCCCGGTGGCGCCTAGAATGACGAGGAGAGGGAGGCGCCCGGGCCCTGCCACGGCGGCCGACATTGCAGCCTCCGCCCCACGTCATCCGCGCGCCGAACACGTGACCGCGGTGGCCGCCTCCACACTGAGCAGGAGCCGATTGATCGACCCCACGTGGGGTCAGCGTTGGTGTGGCCGCTGTTGGCGAGGAGCTCTGCGGCTGTGCCATTACAATTGGGTGCTTGATGAGCCAGATAATTGGGTAAAATGTGGCGGTGTATTGCTGTTGATGATGCTTCCTCCAAAATAGATCTTCGTATGAGACTACGGTTATCTGTGTGATGTGAATCAATCGATATGCCTGAGTCTAATGGTCTCTGTGCGAGTCTATGTCTTTCCGTGTTCATCTCTTAATATCGTTGTATTCTTTGTTTGGCTGATGTTGATAAAGAGCAATAACTGTAATTTTACATGGAGGTTGTTGAGCTAGATAATTGCATCAGGAGTAGCGGAGTGGTGTGTGGCTGTGATGATGCCTCCTCCGTATTTGTGAGTCGGACATTGAATCGTTGTGTCCCGTGGCTCTGTTCTGGGTGGTGACCACAGTCGCCGCACTCTGACCAGATAGTTGTATTTATTTATTTTCCATTTGTGCACATAACTATGGATTAGCGGCCAACGAGTGTACCGCTTTTGAGAGCAGTACATCCACACTCAGGAGACGGAACGACGAACTCTGCTCACGTGCAGATGCTTAGATGGACTACGACATCACGAGTGTGAGAGATGGCAACAGATTGGGGAGACTTTCATCCAGCAGTGAATTGACCGTCGTTGCTGATGACGATATTGAACGGTTCTCTTCGGACTCCCAGTGGATGATTGGAATCCGTGTCGTCGCCTGCCTCTGGTGGTGGGCCAGCCTGGTGGTGGGCCAGCCTGGTGGTGGCCAGCCTGGTGGTGGGCCAGCCTGGTGGTGTCTGTCGCGATGCGGAGAGGTCACGCAACCTCCCGAGCGGTGTCAGCTTGATCCCAACGCGGCGGCGCCTCGCTGGCGCTAACGAGCACACAGCCTCCTCCGCCTCCTGGCAGACGGCCGTGTTACGCGCCGTGCCATTATAAAAAAACACTATGTGTGGCGTTTCTTATTCTCTGTTTAATAATGATAAAATATTTTCGGAACGCGTCAACAAATTCCTAATTTAAACACGTAGTAGGGCTTTCGTGACTGATATTATCCATAATAGAGGGCTTTTTTCGATTTAAAGCTTTCGTGACTGCAAGGATTCATCTTCTTTGGTTCTTTCGGTAAAGTCCAGCGCTGTCCTCCAGACAGTCTCGTCCCCTTCACCTGATAAAGGCCGCTTGTGTTGTGGCCGAAACGTCGTGAGAATATTATTGTTATTTTTTATTTTATCAATTTATTATTTTATTCTCATTCTACGTGACTTTACCGAAAGAACCAAAGAAGAGGATTTTTTTTTGTTAGATCGCGTAAATATAAATGCGTCATTAAACCCACCATCACCCGACACAGGCATTTAATAAGGTTTGTCCCGTAAACAGAACATGCCAATTCGTGACGAGTACAGCACACCGGTGTGTTGCAGAGTAAATCCATAACATTTACAATTTGAGTACGACCTTTTGCCAGTAATTACAACTAGCATAATTAGGCGGCAGCCTGATTTGTGAAGAAATCCTCCTGTTTCATTCTTAAATTCCTCATTGTCAAGCCATGTTTGTGGTGATGCTGCACTGCCCTGTAGGGGATTCTACCCTTCTAGTTAGCAGAGATAAGAGAGGCCACAGATATTGAGTGAATTATACCTGGGGATCAACCCCAATACAAATTGAATCCTAATGTTTCTAGGATTAAAGATATTTAGGTATAAACCCATGAATTTTAATCCATAAACGAATTTGTATTGATAGTAAAATTATATTAATTTATATTAATTTTACTGATACATTGCATCCTGGAGAGCCATGATGCAGTCGTATCTTATTCCTCCTGATGTTGCTGGTACATCTGCAATAATGAGTACACTTCATTAAAACGTTCACAAGTCGTGTAACCGCAGTTTAACACACGTTAGTGTGGACTCAGGTTTGCAGACAAAATTCAGGTTTGCAGACAAAACCATGGCCCTGGCTTCTTGCCCTTGATGACTTCATTCGTCGTCGGCCTGTGTTCTGAAGTCCCGTCACAGCCACAGATGTACTACCCTTGTTTATTTAGCGTGCATCGTCCCGATAACGGATCACGCTGCAGGTGACTTCAAAAAAATCCATCAAACGGAGCGAGGCCCAATCAGAACGAGCTAAATAAAAACCCACAACTGCAACTGGGGGAGGCTGGAGAGGTTGGGGGCTGCGGTGTCGTGTTCCGAATGCTTCTTATTCAGTTTACTTGCAGATGTTTGCGGTCAAGTGGGCAGTCACCGACCCTCGACGAATGCGGAGCAGCTAATAATTAACCTGGCGCGCAAAAACAATGCATTTTGGTGAGCACGGTGAACCTTGGACGCAGACAACCCGCACACGGATAGACGCTTTAACTGTATAGCGCTCCAATTATTTGGCAATTTCCCAGCGCAACGCCATCGCTTCCAAAGTGACGTTGCATGTGTCCACGATGGTCACGGGTGTTCGTGGGCGTGCCACTCTATTCCGGGACACACACCTTTAACTGGCTTTACCCCGCAGGCAGGCAACAGCAGGTGTCACTCTACATTGACACTGGGTGCTTTTCATTCACACCTTGACAACCGCAAAAAATGCGAGCGGATCTTTTGAAGTGGCGTAACAATGTGAAGTCCGGGGCGAGACCAGGCTTAGGTGCATCAACCGGTTTCACCATTTGAAAAGTCTTCAAAAACCACTGGGTTCATGTTTTTCCACTTGTTATTTGTTGCTGGCCGTTTGCCTTCTTGGGCCTTTAGGCTTGTGCTCAGTAACCATGATAAATACATAAATAACCCACCGCACTACCTGTAAGGAATAGTGCAATGTAGGGTTGCCACCTGTCCCAGTTTGCCCAGGTTCATCATGTTGTGGAGTTAGCTGCTGTACTAGGAAGTCACCCCCAGACATTACAAGTCCCGGGTTTTGTCAGTTGTGTAACAAGGCACGGCTGGAGACCGTGCCATTCCGTGCAGCAACGCCCCCCCCCCCCCCTCATCTTTTGGTATGACGAGATATCTTTCTTTGCCGTCACACGTCCCAGTTTCTTTCGCACCTCAAGGAGGTGGCAAACAGAGTGCAATGTGACGCGTGTGTGCGCGCGCACGACGGGTTGCACAGACACACCGGGACTCGCGCGGGTTCCGAACTCAAGCCACTTTTATTTTGTTCTATGGGAAATAAAATAAAGTGCTCATGAAAAAAGAATCGACTGTCAAGAACAGCAAGAGCAAATTAATTAGAAAAAATTAACTTCCAACCAGACAAACGCAACGATCTAAAAAACACACAAAACAAACCACATCCAGATGCAGTTGCATTTTTAAGCATTTTTCGTATAAAATATGAAAAATAATCTTAAAACCCTGAATTGTGAAACAGGAAAAATTTTAACGCGAAATGGTATTTCATTAATCTTTAAAAAAGTACTCATTGTTAGAACCAGGCAGTGACACATTCAACTAGAACGACAATAAAACACAAATAGCTTTAAATATTTAAAGTAATTAAATATTTAAAATTATGCAATATTCAATCCATCCAAAAAAAGGCAACAATTGTTTACTTTGAAATGTCAAGCCCCAAGTTTTACACACAATGGCTATATTCTGGTAGAGAGTCATCGTCGTCATCATTATATATTTGCTCAGCACGTAACACGGCCATCATCAGTTAATTCTGTTATGCAAATTTGAGAAATAAAGTGTCAGCAGTTGTGCAGGAGTTAAGTCTCTTCCTCTGCCGATTGGCGTTGGCGCTCTCTTTCCCGAGCCAGGGCGGCCTTGACGACGACCCGCATAGTGGTCCACGGCATGGGTAGGTGGGTGGAGGGGTAGAGAGGTGGGTGGGTGGAGGGGAGGAGGGGGGTGCCGCATACCCCCTGTGCAAGCGGCAAGACCCGCACTGGCACCGGACTTACCCCGACGTCACACCCGGACTTTCAGGGCTGGCTCTGAGCTGCCAGCTGTGACCAACTAGAGTCCTGATAGACACCTGAAGCGACCGCGTACACAGGAAAAAAAACTGTCCAGTCTGCTGCAGCGCAGCGGGAAAATGTACAAGTGGGGTGGGGGGGGCATTGCATTTATGTTAAGAGCCAGAAACTGTACGGAGATGGTGCGGGGATTCACGATGAAGATGGTGGAATGGCGCGATTCTCTGTGGCCCACAACGTGCAATTCCACACTGGAGGATGGCGGCGCGAGCGCATGCTCTCGACCGGCAGCCGGTGCGGCAGGCAGGGCGGTAGCCGGTGCGGCAGCCAGCGCTTCCCATGCTTCCCCAGAGAGCAAATAATGTTTCGGTAGCGGTGGCGAACGGACGGACGGGATTTAGCGCTTGAGCGATTCGATCTTTCTAAGCAGCTGGTGCTGCCTCGCCTCCGCCTGTCGCTTCTCCAACAGCAGCCGGTGCTCCTCGGCCACGAGCCGTTTGGCGTACTCGCCGGCCTTGCGCAAAATCATCACCTTGGCCGCCTTGTCGTTCCTACACAGCTCCGGGATGACGTCACGCAGCCCGAGGAAGCTCGAGCGCAACCCGTCGCGCCTCTGCCTCTCCAGGATGTTGTGCGTGCGCCGCCGCTCACTCTCCTCCGAATCGGAGCTGCTCGTGCTGTTTCCGCTGCTAGTCAGCCGCCCCTCCGCCCCGCCATTGCCGCTGCCGCCGTTGCCAGCACTACCGTACCGGGTGAATGCGGGGAGCCGCGCCGGCTCGCCGCGCGCCGCACTGCGCACGGCCACCGCCGTCGCGGCGGCCTCGGTCCTCCAGCGCTTGGTGGGCGGCGGGCTGGGAGGGGAGGGCGCGGCATAGTTGTGCTGCTGGTGGATGGGGAAATGGCAGCGCTTGAGCGCGTGGTCGCATGGTTCGGACTGCAGGCGCACGCCTGCCGTGTTGGTGTTGCTGCTCGCGGAGATGGCACCAGCGTCGCCCGGCGTCACCGCCGGCCTCTTCTCCACTGTCACCACGTCGATCTCCTCTTCTTCTGCTCAAACGAAAACACGGGGGTCAGCAGGGAACGCGTGTGCGATATGACTAAAACTGCCAAACGCCTGGGACACGTGGTGACAACATTTTAAGCCGGAGACAAAATCTTGATGTTCACAGATATTTTGTGATACTGGGAAAAACTGCCACTGAGAAGGTCCTGGAAAGCTGCTCAGTAGCTTTCGTCACAGGATCAACAGACAGCCGCTAGCGACCAGCCACGCTGAATAAACACACGTGCTGCCACCCTCAGGTCACTGCCATTTGGCCGATAGAAATGTGATAGCTTTGTTCGCAAACTTTTCACACAAAAGGTTAATCAAACCGACATGCGTCACCACTTCCATCGCGCGCAAACCTCGTGCTCAATATTTAGAACGAATAAACGTGGGCAATGCACAAAAACATCCCTCGCCTCTCTCGTTCCTGCCACGTCTACTCGTAGCGAGAATCGTTAAATCCCTCGCGTGGGTCGGACAAAAACCACAAGTCGCAGGGCCCAAGAAAAACGTGACGCGTTTACTTTAATTACACTAAACCCCCGTCTCACTCTGAAGCGCGATTTCAATAAGCTGAAATTTCCCAAAGAATTACGACGGATTGTCTTTGTGATGCTGTTACATTTGCCGGTTCATCCCACGGCCCGGGTTTATCGCCGCAAGAGTTAAAAAAAAAACCCTGCAGCTGACATCACAGGCGCCGCGTGAGCAGCTGACGTCAAAGCAAGGGCGGTGGTGTGATGGCGGTCCGCGGGTCCTGGAACGACGCCGGCAAGGGTGGTGAACCCGAGTGCGCCGGCTCCCGCCAGGCGTGCTGTAATCACCAGCCCGGGCAACACGGTCGCAATGGGGGTTTGGCTTAATTGACACAGAGGACTAAAATCAACTCTGAGCCCTTGTGCAGTTGGCGACGCTGTAACAGCAGCAGCCACCACCGCCGGAGGCTGCCACTGGCAGGGTTTTTCGCTTACTCGCATGAGCGAGCGAGCGAGCAAGGTGGCGGGGTCCAGACTCCCGACAGCCGGGAAAAAAAGTGGCCTCTAAATTTACGCTCCAACATCCTCCTTGTCCCTCATACTCCCCTCCACGATACAGCCGCTGACGTTTACCAAATTAACGGACACGTGTCCTGCATGGCTAGCGAGCCCACTTGGCGTGGTTAGAGATTGGTTGAAAGGAGGCCCTGATTTAGGACACGGGGCCACGCAGCAAGCACCGTTATCGGGACTGCTACTCGTGCGCCAGTTAAGTGCGGACTGAAAAATCCCATGGTTGTGCTGCACTGTCTCACGTCTATGCTCCCCTGCATTCAGCAACCCGCAGCGGCCAGCGTTAAATATGATCGAATGAACCTCCCGCAACGCGGGGAGGCCCTCGTCCAGCAGTGGATCGACAAAAGCATGGGCGCACGCGAACGGAAGGCGCGGCGACGATGTCGTCGTCATCGCCATACGCGTTCCCTTTGTGAGCGCGATCCCGCGCGGCCAGAATGAATGGATTCCCGCAGATTTCTCCAGCTCGATCCCCAGGTCCGTCGCAGCTGCGAACAGCCTCGCGCGTGTGCGCGGGGAGGGGCCGCAGACGACTCCCCCCCCCTCCCCGCCAGCCCCTCCTCCCCAGCTCGGGCTGCAGTCTGCACCCTGCGCATGATGCAAGCCGCCGCAACAGCCCCCCCCACCACCACCGCCGCCGCTGACCTACAAAACGGCATCAACATTTTAAAGGGGACGCGGCGACTTTTCCGAGCGCCCCTTTCGGCCCCGACCTGCCGGCAACGATTGCCACTTTCACTGGGGCGGGCGGCCGGCCATCGCCAGGCCACGCCCATCACGGGCGCGGCGCGTTCAAGCAAGGCCCTCTTCACCGTCTGGAGAAATGAAACCGATGGAGCAGGCGCACATCGTCACTGCCAATTCTAACCAGTCCAATTTTGGATGAAAGCCCCCCTCTCTCCCAATGCATCGCCAACTCTCACGGTCCTCGAGAGTCACAGCCCACCCAGCTTTTTTTCATCCGATTTTTGCGCTGCATCTCTGCGGTGGGGCGTTTTTTCGGGTGCGTTCCCGCCTCTGGCTGCTATTCCGTTGTCATTCTCGCCCCCCCAGAAATCATCGCCTCGAGCAACGGTCCTGCCCAGTCCACCTACCTTTCTTGAGAGCACTTTAACAATACCTTGCAATCTGTTTGTCACCTTTGTAAAGCCCCTCATTTGCTCCCCGGATTCCCCTTCCAGAGTTCCAGCGTTGCGTCGTACGGCCCCGCGATGTTTTATATTAGCGGCTGGCGCCGTTGTCAATTTAAAGATATGTTAAACTGCTCATTTGCATACGGTCTGGGTTCCATTTTCGAGTGGACGTGTGCAGCAGTGAAATGGGGAGGGCGGGTGAATTATACTGCTGCACTGCTCACGAGGCATCGCTGCAGTTGTCTGCCACGCGAGACGCCCGTAAATCTCCCTCCGCCGTGGCTTCGAGATACAAATGAACGCGGTCACGACCTGCTCAGCTCCTCACCCGCTCCCAGACTGTGAACCGGGACTCAACGCACGAAGCCTCAAGCCACCGAACCTTGCGCACATGCGCGTGTGTCCAAAGACACATCTGTGTGCGTCTAAGGAAGAGACGTTTAACACTCTGGATCAAAGAGCTGACATTTCAGCCGCTACGATGACGGGCACCATCGCGCGCTCGTCAACGACACCGGAGGATGCCTTCCCGTGTCCTCTGGTGAAACTGCCGACGGTGCAACGTTCCCATCGCCCTCGTCGTGCTGCCTCCCAACCGAGGCTCTGCACAGCCGATGACTTATCCGCCACGGACGAGGCCGGGAGAGGCGACTCGCGACCCGCGGTGGAGGCGGCCAAACGCGAGAGCGGGGGCAGAGAGGGAGGGAGGGGGCATAGGCTGCCCCTTTCATCCGAGTACAGTGGCCGGTACGTGTGGCGGCGGCGGCAACATCGGCATCGCGTTACCGCCACGTCCACCACCTGCACTGCGCGTCTCGAGCTCTCCCCGTCACCGCCGCACTACCACAGCCCAGCATAGGTGGCCCGGTTAACTAATGCCCGTTACCAGATCCTAATTATAGCCACCAATGAGGAGCGTAAAGAAAAGTGAAGTGGGCTTGCGGGGCAGGGCACGCCATTGGAAGGGATGGGCGAGAAAAACAACTGGAGACTGACTCCAGTGGCAGCCGCCAAACGAAGGAAAGCGACCAAGAAGGAGCGTCGGTCATCATGGAGATGGAGCAAAGAAATTGGCTTGTGCAGCAGCGAGGTGATGGGATTATTGCATCGTGGGGCAGGGAGGGATGACAACGGCTTTGGGGAGGCCTTCATTCAGCGCCGGGTCGATCACGGCTGATCGTGACGGCGATTCAAACCACCACGAGTAATCACGCGCGAGCTTAAGCGGAGAGCCGAGCTGCCACGTCGTCATACGTCCCCCTTAATCACACTCGCTTAACTCAATTACCCGCACCAGCGGCTGCACATGCAGAACATACAAATCATGTCACGCCGACGAGGTCTGGCCAGCGGCCAATGAGTCACTGACCTCCAGGCAGCGAGCGAGCGACTCCCCGGCCAACGAGCCCCTGACACCCCAGCCGGCGTCCGCCGTTCAACGTGGTGCCCAGAATAGCCGGGCATCATTCATCATCATCATCTCCACTATTACCACCACCACCATGAGTTATCGTATAGTCACACCACACTTTCCAAATTGTGCAAGTTTCTTAAAGCGCCGACTGCCACTCCTGTCCACTCAGCAATATAAATGGGTAACACTACAGTTACTCGGTTGGAAGGTTGCGTATGATGGGGTAAAGCGTGGGTAATTACAACTCCTTCCAAGACGTCAGGCCAGCATGAAAGAGAGGGGGCTCTCGCGAGCTCCCTCTAGTATAGACCCTTCCGCTAGCAGTGGCACGAGCAAGCGGTTGCAGGGCCGCACCTTTTACTATTTCACCACGCCCCCCACCCCTCCTCCCTTGCAGTACAGAAACATCTCTCCTCTCTCCTTACCGGAATCGCTGGGCGTCTCGAGTCCCGCGGTTCGCGGGGAGAATCTGGGCTGCAGGTCCAGGCCGTGCGTGCCCCTGTCTTCCGTGGAGCCGTAGTCCAGCTCGGAGTCGCTATCCGAACCGCTGCTGCTGCTGCTACTGCTGCTGCTACTGCTGCTCTCGCTCATCCTCCTCGACTGCCCCCCCGGGCTATCGCCTGGAGACGGTGGCGCCACGTAGCCCCCCCGCAGAAGAGCCACGCGCTGGCCCATGCGCTGGCCCATCATCTTCTCGAGCTTCTCGTGAGCGTTGAAGCCGCTCCACATGCAGTCCTGCTTGATGACGGTCTCCTCCTCCTCCAGGGCGTCGCAGAAGAAGCTCTCGCTCACGGCCCGATCTGTCAGGAGGCCCGACACGAGCAGGTCAAGGGTCTTGGCGCTCGGCAAGAAGATTTCGGGCCCCGGGTCCCAGCCGTCGCGCGAGAGAAGGCAGTCGAGTTCGAGGCGTCCCGGCGACAGCGGAGGAGTCGGCAGCAGCTCGAACTTCTTCCAGATGTCCTCGCTGGGAGCAGTGGACTGGTAGAAGCTTCCATCCTCGAGCTCCTCCTCTGAGTAGAAGAAGAGCTGGTGCGAGTCCAGCATGGCGTAGTCGCGTGTGCTGCAGTTCTCAGAGGCCATCGTGCCGAACATCCCCAACACCTGCGTCAGCGAACAGATAACAGGCACCGTCATCATCACGAACCATTCTTAATCGTTATCATCATCATCTTTATCACTAAGAACCAGCGGTGTCCTCTGGCTAAAATACCCCGGTCGACTCCTGGCCGGTACACATCGAGGAAAGAAACCCTCGTGCGTGTAACAGTCGCACCTCGCACACCCAAGGCACTTGACAATGTCCGTCTCCTGCTCCCAGCCCGTGTATGTCTGTCCAGCATGCTCCCTGTGAGTGCAGCAGCACTCTGGCCGTGTCCACCATCGGGCCCGCGTGTCTCATCAGCGCTGCGGTTGCCGCATGAACGTGCGCGGGGTGCATGCCGAGTCGTGTACACCACACAGTACGCCGACTCTCTTCTCACACACGCTCTATCCACTGCTCAGCGCAGCTATCATCGGCGCCCCACGCTGCTGGAGGGGCGTGCCGTGCCGGGACCCGGCGAAGGCCGCCACCCCCCCCCGCCCCCAGCAGTCGCAGCGCTTCCTCCTTCTTCCTCTCCTCTTCCTTCCCTCTCCGCTTCCTGCACCGTTAATTAGAATACGCTCATTAATAAAACTGCTGGTCGGCCAGCTGCGTGAACGAGCGGGCCGCCAGCCCAATTAGCTAAGCGAGTCTCATTTAAAAGGCGTCTGAGACATGGCGACCGCGCCCTGCCGCGGGCAATCCGCGCTCCACACCGCCACCACCACCACCCCGCAATCAATCAAGGCGACTGCCGCTCTCCATCCTTGCCTCTCCCCCGCACACACTCGCGCGTCCCGCTCACCTGGTGAGGGTGAGCAGCCGAATGATTGTCCGGCTGGTGGCGCTCAGAGCAGAAAGAGGTCTGGAGGAGGAGTGGACGTGTGACGGGTTCAGTGTCTGAACAGCTCTGGAGGACCCCGGTGGAACCGGATGCGAAGTTCGGGTTATAACCTCGACAAAGCACCGCGGTGCAGCTCTGGTGGACCCCTAGAGGACCGCGAAAGGACCCTGGTGGAGCCCTGTTGAACCCCGGTGTAGCTGGGTGGAGACACGGCGCTCCAGGTACCGGCGTGAGCGATGCGCTGCAGCCTGGTGGAGCGAGACGCGCAGCCTCCCACGCCACTCTCTATAAGTACCCGCCAAAAAAACCACATGGCACCACGCCCCCTTGCGTCCATTTGGCCGGAGCGCCCTCGTGACGGCAAGTTCAGCCCGCTGATTGGTTGAGCCAGCCGAGCTGATTAATTTTCCGTGGCTCGTGGTGGGTGGGGGGCCATGCGGCGTGGCTGCTGCGTCGCATTTTTCCCGCCAAATTTTTTTTTTAGTAATACGTGTGCACTATACACGTCCTGCGCACTGCATTATATATTTAATTGTTAGCACTGTATACATTTTTACGCATCTCTGATGTGAACCACACAACGTCGACAGTCTCACGATGATTTTTAGTTCACGCTGGTGACCCTTACACCGACCCGAGCGGTAAAAGCGAATGAATGAATGGCAAGTGAAGCTGGCTAATTGGATACGTTAATGAATGATTTAGGTGCGTAATTCTTGGGGGTTAACCATACTCCACCACGCTATTCAGTGCGAGTTTGTGAAAAGGGTGTCAACTGAGGAGATTGAGCGATGAATTCAGTTCGTATGCAGATGTTAGGTGGATTAATAACATCGCTGGCCGTGAGAGGCGACGCCGGCTTGGGAGGCTTTCATCCAGCAGTGGATTGATCATGACTGATGAATGAATGGAGGAAGGCAGCGAGGAAGAGATATAACCCGCTTCCCCTGACGTGGAGACTGCCCAGGAGCGAGAGTGATGAGCGACATCGCCTGTGGCCCGGCTCTCCGCTTATCGGATGAACTGAAGTTTACAGCGCGTACGACGAATGTGCCGCAAGTCGATGCATGTGAATCACCACCGTCATCGGCTTTGCCAAATCCACTAACAATTGCACACGAGCTGATTTAATCGCTCCGTCTCCTCGGTGGTGGAACTTCTCGGACGCGTTGCGTACCTGAGGTGCCGCTTTTATTCTTGACTATTGGGCATCAGCCCTTCTTCTCGCCGTGACATCTTTTTCCCAAGCCACTCGCAGTCATTAACATATGCAGGTGTAGCACTCACTCAATAAGTTAGCAATGCGTATGTTCTCTAATGCATTACGGCCAAATGTCGCATCTACACGTAAAGCCCTCTTGTCAATCCACTGCTGCATGACGGCCTCCCCATGTCTTGCAGGCAGTGATAGTTTTTTTTACCATACTTCACCACGCTGGTCATTGCGGGTTTATGAAGGCAGGTGCGTATGTCGATGCATATCAAGACGCTGCACAGAAACAATAGGTGTAGAGTATTTTTTTTATATATAAACGGGAAGACAGTCATAGGCAGGGAAGACGGGGAAGGTCTTGAACATGGACGTGAATAGGCCAAAGGATTCGACAGCACGGATACCTGGGGGAAGGGAGTCCCCAGACTATTACTTTGACAAAAAAGGGACCATTCTCGACCTTCACCAATGCTCAGCTGTACCCTGCACCTGTATTGGGTCATAACCCGTGTAACATAAACAGTTATGTCCATGTCCTACTCACCACCCATTCCATTTTACGAAAACATCTATTGTCGCTGTGGATGATATTGACGCAAGCGTGCCGCCTTGTCCGACTCCCATTTTAACGTGTACTCTGTGTAGCGCTTTCTTCACGCCATCTCAGTTGTGGCTCTGATGATGACCCATAATCATCAGCCACGATCTATCCACTGCTAGGTGAATGTTTCCGCAAACCACTGCCATCTCTCTCGGTCTTAATTATGCAACGCTCTTAGCACCCGCACGCGAGCTGATTCCATCGCTCCCGACTTCTGAGGCAATATGCTGTCCTAACACACACACACAGAGGCAAATAAAATCTCCCTCCCTCCGTACGCACCGCCACTCGTTCTGATGCCGTGGAACCAGTTTCTCTCCTCCAGCCGTATCAATACCTGCAGTTTCCCGGGCGTAGGAACTTATGAGGCAGTGGGCGGGAGGGAAAGAGGGAGAAACCCATATCATGCAAAGATGGGTTGGATCATGACTATTTAAATTACGTGTGAATTTAAAATGTAATTTCATTACATTTATAATTCGTATCAAATTCACATTACTCCGGCGACATGTAATGTTTTTGCCAATCTCCGCGGCGTGTACTCCAACCTAAAAGTGGCCTCTCTGGCGAGCCCACTTTTGCTCCAACCAGAGTTTGATTTCAGCTGGGTCTGTCTGGGTCAGCGACCCGGAAAATATTTATGCATCCGCCACACCACATCCAGTAGAACTCTCGCTACGGCTCTGTGGCTGCAAGGTTGATCAGATATAAACCCCTTGTCTAGGACTCAATTCAATGTGTATTTGTTACATGGGAAATCTCGTTTAGCCAGTTACCTAGCAAGCATAGAACAAGAACAATATCAAAGTGATACTCAACATAGGTCCCCATGGATGCTTGCCCCACCCGCCCCCCCAAACACCCCCCCCCACCTCCGTCCCAAATATATCAACATCACTGCCACAAAGCTGATCAAATTTGACCATAATACGTGCATCGATCCTCATTAAATCCATCAAAACAAATTACCCGTGTCATATTTACCCGGCGCGCCCTCAACCCACACTACGGCCAGCAGCTGGACCCAGTCAAAGTTTAAACTTTACAGGGCCATGTAAACGGCGGAGATAACGTTAATACACAACAACGAACCAATGGCAAACGGGGCAATTGGTAGGGGGCTCGTAAAGTCTAGAAGAAATCGTTTCTCTGTTGAAACAGGTAAACGTCCCACTGGCTCAGGTGTTCACGCTCGTGAAAAGTCAGCCCCCACGTGGGGTCTTCACGGCAAGGTCATGACGTGCACACACCTGTGTACACACCCTGCACACACCTGCACACTGTGCAGCTTTTATTGAGCTGCCACAGGTGGGACCTGCGTGTTTGTAGCTTAATCTGGTACAAGACCACACGTTTCGCAATGCTCCATACCGGAATCTAGCATTACATTTGCGGGTGAGATAATTTACATGAATAATGACAAAACAGACAGTTTTGTTTTAGTTTAACACGTAGGCTTTCGCGACCAATATTATTAATAATAAAGGTTTTTGGGTTAGATCGCGTTATTTATAAATGTGTCGTAACCATATATCTCAGGAGTAACTGACAAATTAGCCCGTGTTTTGCAAAAGCTAAACATTACAGTAAGATTTGGTACAGTACACAAAATTCAAAAACTAGTATCTTGCACTAAAGACGAATTACCTAAATTATCAACAGGTGTATATCGGATTAATTGTTTATGTGGCAGATGCTATATTGGAGAGACGGGACGTAACATCAGCATAAGACTAAAAGAACACCAAATAAATATTAAATTATCTCAAACACAACTGTCGGCAGTGGCAGAACATGCTTGTCAACAAGGACAGTCAATTGATTTTGATAACGTTGAAGTGTTGTGTAAAACTAATTATTACTGGCAAAGACTAATTAGAGAATCCATTGAAATTGAGAGAAATAGAAGTTACTTTAATCGCTCTGACAGCTACAGGCTTAGTGCGGCTTGGAAGTGTATTATTAAATAATACATATTACAATTCCTTATAGGGGAAACACATACTAATTAACGGATTACTAACGTAGCATATAATCACAATAACACACATTACAACTAATTACTAATCTATAACTCATTACTAATTATAACCATTGACTGATTACCATTCGATTATATAATTACAATACCCCCCCCCTCCGCCTCAAATCACTGCACCTGAATGAGTTAAATGATGACGTCACCCTGCTGCTCTATTTAAGACCGGGAGCAAGTGAGGGCTTTACCATTCTGGCGAATTGCCTGATGATGCTGGATGTAATTACCAGCGAAACGTCGTACTCAAACTGTAAATGTTGTGGATTCACTCTTCAACACACCGGTGGGCTAAAGTAGTGAACTATTTGTCTTTTATCAACGTGACACTTTTTTTGCTGATTGGCCGTGTCGGGTGGTGGAGGGTTACAACACATTTATAAATAACGAGATCTAACCCAAAAACCTTTATTATGAATCGTTTTGTTTTACTTACTCAATGGAATTCCGCTTGCCAAGTGCAGCAGATCGGATACGAACGAGTGATTCAATAGCTCAATATGTTCAAATCTCGCGTGTTTCTTAATCCCCCCCACCTCTCTCCTTCCAGCAGTATGAATGGGTTCACCACAGTTAGTCGATCGCCAGGTCATGTGTCATGGGGTAAAGTGTGGGTACTCCCACCTCTTTTGAAATGTCTGGTGAGTGTGAATGAGAAGGCGAAACTTCTCCTCTACAGTTGCAGGGCCGCACCTTTACGTCTTGCTGGCTTTCACTAAGCAACAGTGCACAACCCTTTTTGTAAAACCATTGCTGGACGAGTGGCCTCCCCACACCGAGCAAGTCGTGGGGGTCATTTAACCATACTTCACCATGATGGTCAGTGCGGGTTGGGGAAGGCAGGGAGCATAGAACCACAGGCTTGCACAGAGACAAATAGATTCACGCAGAGACCCACAGATTTGCCCTGACGGTATACAACGACCATCTGGCCTGAGGTCTACTCTTTCCCTAGATCGCCACATTCATATAGACCATTCACGTATCTGCCTCGGCAATCGACCCTCCCCCATGCTGAACAAGTCCCACCCAGCGCAACCGTTTTTTGTAATCATATCTATATAACCCACCTGATTGCGTGACATTCAACACATACCCCACACCGCATGACCTGGATTTTACCATCAACCCCAGCCGCACCAGAAGTAAATACACCAGGGTGATACAGCCCGTATAGTGTGATATGGCACGCTATTGTAAATATAGCGCCCCTGACCATAGCATGGATCACACATACAGAATACTCGCTGATAGAATACTCGCTGATAGGACCAAATATATTACATTTCCATTGCCATCACTCACCTGATGAGGCTCAACGACTCGCGAGATTAAGTCGTGGCAGGAAGGTAGGAGAAAAGAAGCCGTGGGGGCCCATGTCAACTCGTCAAGGAGACAGAGGATCATGTCTCTTCCAAACTATTAAAAAGTGTGAAGTATGTCAGCGTGGTGAAGTATGGTCAAATATTCCCATGCCCCTCGCGACGTGGGGAGGCCCTCATTCACCAGTGGATTTGCAATGTTATTTAGGCGTGTATGTCATAGCGAATGGGAAGAAAGTCACAGCAGCCATCAGAAAGCATCTATAAATGGGTCACCCTGCATCATATTGTAACCGGCAACCTACCCAACCCACCCAGTCACAGGCAATCGTGATGTCACACTGTGCTGCAATCCTTGCCAGCACTGACGGAGTCGGCTTATGTCAGAGCTACCATACCTAACAAATCAATATCACTTTTGCAAGTTCAGCCCCTGCCATGAATGTGTGAATACGAGACTCGGACGCACAGGAACCGCTGTTATATGCTCTCTGGAACTCTAATTACACATCCTGGCGGGAAGGGATAATTAATCAAGATGGTGATGGCCCGTGATCAAGGCTAACCACAGAGTGGCAGCCAAAGGAGATAATGCACCCGTGAGGTTCTACGTGGAGATGGAGGGATGGGTAACACGTGCCATCGTCTATTCGTCTGGTGTTCCATGGATTGTTGCATCGCAGGAACGCGGTGTGGTGGTTGTTTGGGGAAGCGTTCCTCCAGTTGTGGCTACATCATGGCTGATGATGAGTGTAATTATAGCGCAGCCCTTAATTTAAAACATTTACGTGTTCATCAAAAAACGAGGAGGCACGGCTCGCTTATAAAATAGTTATCGTCTGGAGCATTTATTATCCACCACTGCCACACCGTGTTACAGCACAAGACTACAGCAAGCATCGTGCAGCGATTCAACATTCGTATTATTACTACGCGAGTTGAACCTTATGGTGGTACCCCGGGGTACCATAGCACCCCGGCTCTCGCATAATGTCCGTGATACAGTCATTTTTAGTCTGTTGATGGTCGGCGATGCGGCAATCGACTCATCTCGACGAGCTGTACACGATGCGCTATGGTGCATAGGAGCGTTCAGGGTTTCAGCGCAATCGTCCTCGATGCGTTTCGACATCGCGGAGTAGCACTGATTTAGAATTGATTGGTACCCCAGTCGCTGAGTTAAGTACACCCCTGGAAAAAAACAGTGTCCCAGAAATAACATATTTAATTGCCTCGCCCATTTTGTATTATTTGGTACCCCGGGGTTCCACCATAAGGATCAGTTAACCGAGAAAAGCCTCACGCAGTCTCATGACTCGTTTTCAGGAGGGTCTTGCCAAGTTGTCGCAGTAGGGGGCGATGATATAGTGTCATCACAATTCAGTAATTTGCCGGTAACTTTACAAATTTTAAAACTTTGGATCGTTTCGCCGGCACACAATGGCCTACGCATACAAATTATGTAACGGGATCTTGAACGTCCGCGTATGGTATGGTGAACACAGTACACCCGCAATAATAACCAGGGCGGCTGCCGTAAATCGACCCGTGAACATCTGCGACAATCTGTGAACACGCTCACACCAGGCCACGCCACTACCCCGATACACTGCCACTCCTACCTCTCGTCTCACTCTCCGACCTCCCAGGAACTCACCTACCTCTCCCTTCTCATCTCAGTGTGTTGTATATTCTGGCAGACGCGATGCGCGTGACCCCTCGTGGCCACCGCGTGCAAATCGCTTTTAGACTAAAAAATGTAGAAAGGGTTGGCCTAATTATTTTGGCATTGGTTGCCACGTGTGATACGATTGCACGAGATAGCACAGATAAATGAGGTCATGTTCCTTTCTGTTGCATTGCATTGAATGGATATGGGTAATATTGAGGGTAATCATTGTAACCATTAGTTCATCATATGCACATATAATAACTAGCATTTTGCCCGTCCAAGGACAGGTGTTTTGCATTAAATCTGAAACTTGCAAGCGAAAAGCAGACCGCGACGTGATATTCATCGCATCCATTCGTGTGCAATTTGTAAGGCCGCGGTGACACAGACTTATTTCATTTAAAGGTTTATAATCCCTTGTTGATCATGACGTCCTTTTTACTTCTATGTCTCAATAGCGTCACGGAGATCGCGTGACGTGAGGGTTCTGCCTTTGTAGTGAGGGTTGTAAGTTTACGCCGAGCAGGGGGGAGGAGGCGCCTCGGCCCCCCATGTGGAGTGACGTCAGCCGTTAATTGTTATTATTTGGAGGACTTCATCGTATGATTATTGAGTGGGGCTGTTCGATGCGGAGTGACGTCACCCGCTCATGATTATTCATGGTGGGGGGGGGGTCCATGTGGAGGACTTAACCTGTTCATGATTATTCATGAGGGGGGCTGGTCGACGTGGAGTGACGCCACGCGCGGGACACATACATTCTTGGCTCATTATCGTAGTAAATAATAATCAGCAGCAGGGGACTGGTCCACGTGGAGTGACGCCACGCACGGGACAGACATTCTTGGCTCATTATCGTAGTGAATAATAATCAGCAGCAGCTCTTCCCCTCTCCCTTTACCAATCACTTTTCCGCCACGGCCCACGCTTGCCGGATTCACTTGTTTAACACTTGCAAAATCCGACCGCTTATTTCTACCTCTGCTGCAAAACTCCTCATCCATTCCCTTATCCATAATCGTCTGAACTCTTATGCTTGGTCTTCCCATTTACTATTTTGCCCCCCATCAATACATCCAAAACACCTCTGCACGTATCATATTCAACCTTCCCTAGAATTCTCAGACCTCGACTCTCCTCGCTCAACTGCATTGTAGTGTACTACCGTTGCCTGTTCAAAATCCCCACCCTGGTCTGCAAATCCCTTCATGGTATTGCCCCACCATATCTTACCACTCTTGTAACCTTCTATGTCCCTTCTCGCCCTCTACGTTCTCAATCGTTGTCCTCTATGTTCCTCCACTTCCTTGTGCTCATCCTACGCTTTCGCTCTTTCTCTATTCTTACCCCCTTTCACTGGAACAAACTTCCCCTCCACATTAAGCAGTCATCTTTCCTCACTCGTTTCTGCTCCTCCGTCAAAACTCACTTTTTTTTCTAGCTCACCAAACGATCCCTTAAGATCCCCCTCATAACCACTACCGTTCCCGCGGCCTCTTCATAATCTCATTATATTGCTACCACTCATTCCTCATTCATGAAAACCATTCTTTCATGATCATCATTCGCTTTCATCAATTTTTCTTTTACCTAATTCACGCATCACATATTCGCCCATTACTTCCTCTCACCTATATTCTGCACCTCATCTTCACCATTACATTCATATGTATCATTCTTAATTCTCTGTAACACGCCTTGGTCAAGGCGCTAAATAACTGTTAAGATGAGATAAACCGCCATGCTATTTCTACTGTTGGATGAAGGACTGCCCAAGTCATCACCATCCCTCGCGGTCTCATGATGCAATAAGCCATCTAGATTCAAATGGATAAACACGTGTTCCAAAACCTGGAGACACAAACGAGCGTTAAAAGGACTATTTGCAAACATGGAAGGACTTGAATAGGGGTAGGGCGTCAACAGTACAGACGGCTGGGGAAATGGAGTTCCAAATCATTGGGGCAGAAAAGGAGAATGATCGACCTTCCACTGGGGATTGACTGGGGGTTTCAGCAGCAGGTCGTAGTGCGTGGAGGGGAGTAGAGTGAGACGATCGGGAAGTGTTTACCTTGAAGGCGAGAGGCCGTCCATAAATGACGTCACGCACCGGGGGGGGGGGGGTTATACATTTGTGACGATGTGTGACGATGTGTGACGAGGGGGGGGGGGGTTTGAGAAATGTGACGTCACATCAAAATGCGCAACTTTAAATAAATATAGACAACACGTTCTACTTAATTAAATAGACTTTTTAATAAATGTTTTCTCCTACATGAGAGTGCAGCGGCACATTAAATACGCACTACAATGACAATAGTTAAAAGCGATTTGAAGCATGTTTTTTTTGGGGGGGGGGCAGAGCTTTGTGACGTCATATTTGAGGGGGTCTGACTTTTTGTGACGCCGTGTGATGAGGGGGGTCAAAAATCGCGTGACGTCAATTATGAACGGCCCCCTACCCATCAGCTTCCATACGATAATAGGGGTTTCCCCTTTTTTCTGGCAACAAAACGAAAACCTTTTTACAAGGAATCATGTCTGCATTAACCACAATACTTGTGGTCAGAATGCAAAGACATTTTTTTTTATCAGAACTGTTGTCTGGAATCAACGGATTGGCTCTCGGGACCTCCCTTATATGCGCCTGAGCGTGGCCTGGCTCCGCCCAGGCCACGACCCCTTCTGAATCCGACCAGAAGGTTCTCGCTGCATGTCACGTGTTCCGCTCGCCCCCCTCGGGCCCCCTTCGCTTCCCTGTCCTGGTCACGTGCCTTCTGGGGTTCACCCATGTCCTGGCGTGCCCTCTCTCTGCCCATTACCGGAACAATGTCCCCTAGGGGCCCCTTCCATGGCATATACACCCTGGTGCCAGAGAGAGGCTCTAACACGCGTAGTTCCTCTCTATTCTCAATAGCTGACGCTAAGCGCCGTAGTGACTAAATATACGTTACCACACAAGTAATAAGGGTTTGAAAAATTAATAAGATGGATAAAAACACCAAGACCAGGAAAAATAATTTGTATTCTTGTTATAATTATTTCGTAATAATTTATTTAGCACACAGGAAATGCAGAGGGGAAACATTTAAGGCATTTTATTTTGTAATTTTCCAGAAACATTTAACAAATGGTATATTAAAATATTGCAACAAGGTCCAAAACATGGTACAACAGATCCAAGTTGACATATGTCCTAACTGTTGACCTTCCCCCACACCTCAGATTAGCACGATTGGCTTCGTACGGTGCGAAAGAAGTCCAACATAATACATACATTGAGATCACAGAATGAAGGAAATATTCTGCATTAACATAAGACACTAACGTGGGCGGTGAGATGGCCCAGTCACCGCTTGTTGTGGCGGTTTTACAGTTTGAATCCAGTGGCCTCCCTGATTAATACTGTAGGCATATAAGCCATAAATATATACCATACTACATGTCGTCTGCTTCACAGTGGATGTTAAAAATTTAGTGATGTAATTCACAAGAGTAGGCTATTGTGTGTCAGCTTAATGGTCTAACACGTAGGCTTTCGCGACGAATATTATCCATAACAATGGTGTTTTTGGGTTAGAGTAATGGTGATGTCATCACAATGTACATTAAACGACACATTTATATTTAGTCGATATAGTCACAATCTCAAAATGTACGCAAATTATTCACCCTTGTTGCGAAGATAGGGCACGACCCTCCTGAAAAAGTCATGCGACTCAGTAAGGCTGTCCAAGGTAAAATAGCATGTTAAAGGATTAATTATTTAAATAATATATGGGATAAGTGTAACATGAATAAAACACCACAAAACTACAAGTACAGAATATGATTTCGATTTAAAGCTTTCGTGACTGCAAAGAAACGTTGTGAGAATTTTGTTGTCTTATTTTATTTTATTATTGTATTCCCATTCTATGTGACTTTACCGAAAGAACCAAGAAGATACAGTATATGAATATATGGATTAACGCTACAAGATAATGCAACAAGAAATAAAGAGATCATTTCCACACTATACTGTATCCACATTACTTACGTCAAATGAAAATGTGTTTTTATTTTCACAAGCACATTTTGCTGCTTATAATTGTACATCCAGTAAATGCTGTGCAATTCTAGCCCATGGGAGAAAATGATCTGTCCGAGAATGTCCTAAACTTTACACAGCAAGAGCATTTGAAAACAGGTCTGCTCGTCACTCACAATATATGGAATGCGGAAAATATTAATCTGGGTCTAGAGCCACTAAAGGGAGTGTAAAGTATAGAATAATATTAGTTAAGGTATGGATGCAGCCGTTTTACTTTTGCATATTTGGATAAGCCTAGTCGGCGGAGTCCAGTGCAAGTTTTTAGCGGAGCAACTTTATCCACCGGTACATCTTCTTTTGGCAAAGTTCCTGTGTTCAAAGAATATTGCAAAATTAATAAACAGCAATAGGTAAGTGATCTAGAAGCTGCACGTAGTAGTACAGTATGAGCACTCTGCTGAACCATGTTTCCAAGTATGGTGTTCCCCAAGATTTTCATTGACCTGAATGGTTTCCAGAAGAGAGGTGGTCTCACGGGCAATTTTTCAATGACCACAGTTTCAACATTCACTGGACCAATCATCAATGTGGAATTTTGTGTACAAGTCATTTTGAACAGTGATACTTGAACATTGATATTTGCACTTGTGGCTGTGGCAGATTTCATATAAAATCCCTCACAAATTTTCAACCTCTCACTTACCGAAGGTACATTTCCACTAGAGTGGAAATCTGCTCTTATTTGTCCAGTATATAAAAATGGCTCCAAGGAAGACCCTAATAATGATTTTACAGACTAATCTTTAAAATTTTTCATTTACTAAAATATTGGAAAACATTATTGAATCACAAATAAACTAATGCCTAAAAAGTCATAATCGCTTACATATGTAGTGTGTTCTTTTATGGAGACGGAGATGATAAAGTAGAGGCAACACGGTGTGTTTATTTTATATTATAACTCTCTTACGCCACCTAGCTAGGAAGGTACAGCCTTTGGGCTATTGTGACTTAACACTGCCCCCTGCTGGCTTCCCGCCCTCCGGCTATCCATGACCTAGGGGAGGCTACCCTGACCGAACCTGGTACGGTACTGGTCCGACCACTGGTCCAAGCTCGACCCGGCCATTATAAGGGCAGCAGGCTCGAGGGTCCAGGGTCCTAGTCTAGCTGGCCTTCAGTCTTCGGTCTTCAGTCTTCAGCTGCAACTGCCTCTAACCCAGGGGTGGGCAAATTTTTTGACTCGCGGGCCACAATGGGTTCTAAAATTTGACAGAGGGGCCGGGTCAGGAACAGATGGATGGAGTGTTTGTGTGAACTAATATAAATGACATGTAAAAATAATTATATGAAAGGATTTGGCCTTTAACAGGTAGCAAAGCATTTATTTGTAAGGCAAATTAACAAATTGCACGAACATGAACAATACAAAAAACATATCGTAACTCCCGGTCAAAGTGCGCCATCTAATGGGGAAATGGGGGCATTACAGGAAAAGGGGAAATTTTAATTTAATAATATTTGGACAAGTTCGGCGGGCCGGATTAAAAAGCCCAACGGGCCGTATACGGCCCGGGGGCCGTACTTTGCCCATGTCTGCTCTAACCTCTCCAGAGGCCCTACTTATATACAGTTTCTATGCCGAGGGGCGGGGCTCTGTGGGATCGTAGAACACCCCACAGCCCCCACCCGTTGGGAGGGGTCTGCGGGGGATCGTAGAATACCCCTCCTCCCCCCCAGGCTAGGAATCATAACGGTGTTTCCCGCCTGATGGGCACTGTTCGCCATTGCGGATATTTGCAGCCCATTTACGGCACTACACATAGTAGACAGTCTGGTTTTCATGGGGATTACTGTACGACAACAGCAATGTATGTATTAGTATGTTGACATTCTTTCACACCGTACATCGCCAACCATGCTAATCAGAGGTGCGGGGGAAGAAAGCAATGATGGATGTATATTCTTGGTTCTTTCGGTAAAGTCACGTAGAAGAGAAATTATAAAATAATAAAAATATAAAACAATAAAATAAAAGCTTTAAATAAAAAAATGATGGATGTATTGCGTTTTCTCTTCAGTGCCCTACTGCCGTGCACTATTCCTGGACTTGTCAAAAGAGTTACCTTTCAAACCGTGCTCAAAAAGGTACACAGTGAAAACATCTCGTCCACAAATATTAAAAGGTTCTGTGCTCGGTCCAATTCTGGTCTCCTTATATTTAAAAAATCTTGGACTAAACGTAAATCGCTTAGAATTTGCTGATGACACTGTCATGCTCGTATCGGGTAAGTCAAACAGAATCTCCAACACGATTTCGACTTTATTCAATAGTAAACGTCAACATTGAAATTGCTCATAAATCACTCAAAAGCGAAGATCATGCTATTTTTTCAACAAAATCGAGTTTCATTCCCTTCACCTATTATAGATATCAGAAACAATATCATTCAACAAACGGAGTGCTTAAAATGCTTGAGTTTACTGATTGATTAGTAAACCGAATAACTTGGGTTTACTGATCCCCCCCCCACTTTGCACAAGAGTGCAGAAGTGTGATCACCACATCTACGCCTCTATATAAGGAACGAAAGAGGTGGACTCCACAAATCTGTCTGTCGCCTGATGAAGCTAGTTGTAATTACTGGCGAAACGTCGTACTCAGATTGTAAATGTTGTGACTTGGCTCTCCAACACACCGGTGTGCTGTACTAGTGACGAATTGGCACGTTATGTTTACGTGACAACCCTTACTAGTTGGCTGTGTCGGGTGGTGGCAGGTTTTAACGACACATATTTACGCGATCTAACCCAAAAAAACCTCTTATGGATGAAAAAGACCTGCATAGCTCGTCAGATTCCTCTAGTTTAAATAAAGATTCAGATTTACTTTCATTTACATTGTTTTGCAAATGTACAGGTATTTTGTCGATTAAATGCTCGACGAGGTGCTCCCCTGGCTGTGCGAGTCGTAGTGGTTTTTTGACCATACTTCACCACGCTGGTCAGTGTGGTTTGTGAAAGTAGGGGGCATAGACACGGAAGGTTATACAACAATGCTTTTGCTATGCTCTCCTCTGCCAACCATACAGGAGAGCAAGTGTTATTAATGCACATTGCGGTCATCTTTCCAAATACCATCCAGGCTCAACCATAATTAGCTTACGAAATCTGGCATGATCGGGTGCATTTCAGGTGATTTGGTCATAGATTACACCATTTTAATAGTAACTTTATAATGTGTACTGACAAATGTTGATTCGTACCTGTACAAAAAGGCTGTTGATGATCATCATATGCAGGTGATGTAAAGGAAAATGCTGATTTCCATTGATCTCCTTGACAAAAGCAAATGAAACATTGAGTTTGTGACAAAATTGTATATGTATCATTGCAATGATGTTTAACATTAAACCTCATCCACACTGTTCTTGGTAGAAAATCCACGTCATGTTGCTTCTGAAAAGCATACCTATAGTCTATGATGACCTGCAAGTCCACACAGCAACCGCCGCTAAGCCTGTCAGTTTTGTGGTGGTAGTTTATGCCAAATATAAAATAGTAATGACAACTCACAGCCCCTTGTCAATCCATTGCTGTTTTACCATATTTTACCATACTTGTCAGTGCAGGCTGTAGAAGGGGGAACCCAGGACTTGTTCAGATATTCCTCGCCACTGGTGTTAATCATGGCAAACAATAAAACTTAGGTCACTGTGTTCAATGCACAGTGTATACTAACCATTCACTATGCCACCATTCCCACCTAACCCTATAATTATCATTTTAAAAAACTGAGAAAAATTATACTTTTAGTGCACATTAATAACACTTATACAAAACATCTCAGATCACCATTTAGTGTGAATTAATTTAAAAGTTTACCTGAAATTATCATCCACTGCAAAATATGTTGCTGATGATTATTTAAGGGCAATAGTTGCAGGAACATTATCAAGATTAGCTGCAGTTGAATATGTAGCAGCTTATTTATATTGTTAAAAAAAATAATTCTCATATGGCTCCTGCCAGAGGAATGTTTAACTGTCACCATTGGGTCAGGAAGACCAGTGAAGATAAGCCATGCCCCGTGTTCATGCTCAAATACGTTGGCAAAGCATACGTTGGCAAATGTCATTTTTGTACAATTTTTTACAAAGATGTTTTAATGTCTATATTACATAAGGGTAAACATCATGAGCGAAATGTTTTGGTTATTTTAACATGTGTCTGAAAGATCATCTGCGCATGTTCCACATGTTTTAAATATTCTTTAGCCAATCCACTGCTGGATCAAAGCCTCATCATATTAGTTATGGGGCTTGTTTGACTATGCTTCACCATCGCTCGTCAGTTTAGTGAAAGTCCCGGAAATGGTTTAAGATATCATTCACTGCTCATGCTAGCCATGGTCAGGATCACTTGAGATACCGAGTTCAAAGTGCTGTGCGCTAAACACTGTAGCACCACTCACTCCCTACCCTCCAACCCCATCACATACAATACATTATGTTAATACAATGACAGACAGTTGTGTTGCCAATAAATTACACTGATTACAATCAGTAGTCAACTATGTTGGAAAAATTCACAATCTCACCTACTTGCTATAAAGAGTAAAAACCATTCACCTTTGATAGGAGAGAACACATTACTTTCATCATCTTCCTGTCCGGACAGATCACATGTCAGCGGTGACACTGTAGAAACGGTGGCTCTGGGTTTCCTGTCCAAGCCAAAATGCTCTACGTCTGGCAGGGTGGCTTCTGGCTGTTGGACACGGCTGCACTCTGCTGTTATTGAGTAACTACGAGTGGCATCAATAAAAGATGCATCTTCTGTGGTTGCTGCGGATGCTTGCTCGGATTCATTACTCTGCATTTCATTGTTCGCTTCATGAAAATGTTTCAGCTCTTCAATTACAACATTAAATAATTTCTTACACTGACAGCACGGTTGTGTTTTGCCCAGATGATCGCATTCATCTATTGGTAACTTGCATTTTATAATGGGAGGGTCCATTCTTAAGGTATTGTTGCACTTGTCATTTTTTCCATTTTCATTCATGCATTCTTTTGTATCAGGGTTAATAAAACGCATGTTGATTGGTGAATATTGGTTCGACTCTGCATTGTTTGCTGGTGCACAAAGAGTTTCTGAACACTCAGAATCATTGCTTGGTACAATATGTTCATGGTTTGATGCTGCATCATTTATTGGTGCACTGGGAGTTTCCAAAGGAGAATTATGGTATGGAACAATCTGGGGTATTTCTTCATTAGTGTGCGCCTTCATTTTGTCCAAAATAAACGCTTCCCTCACTTCTAATGAATCATCGGGGTGTAACTGTATCCAATCGGTTCTAGCGTGTGGTGTATGCTGTAAGCCAGGTTCTGTCATGCCTTTTGCCTCCGAGTCACTCCCTCTAATGATACTGCCAGTTGAAAATATGTTGTTATTCGTATAATTTATTGACAGATTGGTAATATCTGTATGCCTTGTGAAATTATAATCGTTTATTATTTTAGTGTTGTATTCATAAATACAGGATTCATCTTTACGATTGTCATCAAGTTGATATGACAAGCACAAATTTCCAAACCCAATTCTTTTAATGTTCTTGTTTTTCAATTTTAAATCTGATGCATGTGTGTTCACTTCTGTGTTGTCTATATGATCACTGTAAACCTCATTCACATCACTGGGTTCGATTTCTCCATCTGAAATGATACTCTTTGTGGAATTTTGTTTTTGGACTAAATACACTTCATGGCGCTCTTGGTTTAAATAATCAACATATTTTGCACTATTAATTGGATCCGTTTCATTTCTATCTACACCGGATAAGAGAATGTTTTTGCTGTGATCGTTGCGTTTCACAAAAGCATATCTTGTGCTCCCACCGTCTTGTTCTTGTACTGCTTCTTTGGTTTCCAAAAAAGTCTGAGTGTTTGTACCCGATGTTAACACTTGAATGGGCATTTCTCTTTGTCTTCCAGTTGTGTTTCTATCATCCACATCTCTGAATTTTCTTGCATAAGATATAGCTAATTTATCTTTCACACATACCACTTGACATGAAGTCATATCTTCAGGATCTACTTTGTAAAGTTTACTTTGATCACTGAAAGGGACATTTCTTACACAGGAACTGCATATGCTTTTTAAGTTTAAGTCAGGTAAACACTTACTACTTTGGATAGCAACACTCTTGTTCTGGACAATGTGCGTCACACTCACATTGTTAAGTTCCTTATTACTCAGAGTGAGTAATTTAGCGTGGTTGGACTCATGGCAGATCTCTCCTTCACATTCTTCAGCACATATAGCTGCTTTGTGGGAAACCTGTGCAAATACAAAATCTGAGTTTAAATCTTGAGCGTTGTGCATGACGAAGTGGTCACCTACGAGATGCCATGGGTTTAAATTTGCATTGATACATCCGCCGTTTAATTTCGTGATACGGTAAAAACTTGATGTTTTATTTATTAATGCATTTATATTCACAAACTCACATTGTATGTTGTTTTCATTAACCAAGTATGGTGATGTTTTACTCACATAAATGTTGCCTGTTGAATAACCGGAACTCACACTGCAGTCCACACCTTCATGAGTTTCGTCGATATTGCCATATTTACAGAGGTCTATTGTGATGGGTTTTAAGTTTATATCATTTTGTTCAGCCACACTTATATCATCAATGCTTTCAGAGAGAGAGTTGCTGTTATTGTTTGAAGTAGTTACATCATGGCTTTTGCTGGTGACCAAGATGTTTTCTTGCTCCACAGTGTTTGATAAATGAGCATTATTTTTCTCAAAATTTAGAGTGAGAATTGGAACACGAGTCACGTTACATGATGGAATAAATATGTTTTCTTGACTGCAGTATCGTTCACTGAGATTTGATGGCAATTCCACTTTAAGCTGACCAAGTTCTTGAATAGGTTTGTCTTGGTCTTCTGTGTATTTAATATAACTTATTTTCTGTATATCGGTAATACCCATATGTGTTTCAGACGTAGGTAAGCTAACTGAACTGATTGCAGCAGCATTAGCAGATTTCTCATGTAGCTGTTTGCACACTTTTTCATCATCCACTTGATGTGTTTTGTTGACACGATCAAGTCCATTCATTTGGGCTTCCTTGCCACTTTGGTTCTGGTTTGATCCATTGGTAACTGCGTTGGTTTCCATATTAACAGATGATGTAGAAATTAGGTTTTGCGGTGAAATTGTGGGTACCCTTGGCTCCTGCGATGCTGTACAAATATCTGTGCTGTCAAGCAGGCAACAACTTTTGCTGTAATTTTCGTCAGCAATATTTATATTATCAGTTCCTTCTTTACTGGAAAACATTTTGTCCTTTGCATTATCGTTTGCTTTTTCAGAAAGTTGTAAAACACTTACACCACCCTGTGTGAAGTAACTGTTTATGATACTTTCAGTGGATGCATCTATTTGACCCTCGTATTTTGTTTGTGTTTCATCATGTACTGCTTCTATTTTACATTTCACTTCTGGCAACTCATTTGTTTCAGGTAGGTTCCAAATTATGTGACTAGACTGTGTGCCGTTGTTGTCTTGTAAACGTTTCTCTCCGCTTGCCTCTATATAGTGCTTATAAATTATATTGCAAATGTGCAACATTTGCCTGGTATCTTCAGGCATAGTTGCAGTGCTGCGGCCAGGCCAGAACTTAACAGTGTCACAAGGTTCTTCAGTCATGTGCTTGCACAGTTTCACAGCTTGACTTATTTTCCCCATAAAATTTGTAGTTTTAACTATTTCACACATTTCAACTGTCTTAGAGTCTTTGGGGGGTTCAGCTTTTGGAAGGCTGGAGCCGTGTGAATCTGTTCTGCAGGTCACCTCACAGCAACCATGGTGATCGGTTGCAACCTCCAGTCTTCGTCTTTTACGTTTCGTGTGGCTGATAAACTCGTCTTCATAGTTCACCTCTTTGTCCATTCTGCAAGTGAGTGAAATAAATCATTTTTTAAAGAAATTGCAGTTCTGTGATACTCTATCTCATTGCCTCAATCTGTTACTGCAATCCATACGCACTAAAATGCCATTTAACGTGAACGTGGTCACTCCTGCTCAAACAAGCCGTGCTCATCTATATCAGTAGTTCTGAGCAAGTGGTGACAAGTCCACATTCCCACAGCAGCGGAGCGTCAGTTCACATAAAACTAATTACGTAAGCATGGAACCAGATAATTTTTAAAGGCTGCACACTTAGTCGGTGCTTACTTTAAATACCAATTTCTAAAGCATAAATTCGACCATATATGGCATATACCTGCAATATACTGCATACACAATAAACATTATTTACAGTATCTCATACGTGAGTATGGTCAAACAATTTCCATTACCAGCACGGTGTAGGAGGGCCTTTATCCACGAGTGGATTGACAAAGGGCTGTAAATGATCTATTAGCATAGGTCTATGGACTGTACCTGCAGTGTACAAATTAGTATACTGCATCCATAATCAATACTCTGGATGGATGCATCAGTCGCTTTTGTATACAATCATCCACAAATATAACGATTATTCTTGACTTAAAGCTTTTGTGACTGCAGGAATTCATATTCTTTGGGTCTCGGTAAAGCCACGTAGATATAAAAATAATCAAAATCACTACGTTTCGATCGCAACACAAGGAATCGTCTTCAGGTGCAATCGAAACGTCGTGATTTTGATAATTGTTTTTATATCTACGTGGCTTTACCGAAAGACCCAAATAATATAACGATGATGATGAGTTACATCACCATTAGCCTTGTCTGGAGTTAATCACATCCTGTGGCATTCATCTCACCTGCCAGTGCTGTCACTAATGGTCATTAATTAATGTCGGTGATGATTGATAATGATGAACAATTACTGTAGCAGAGCTCATTAACGGTGATGTTCAATGGTGAGGTTATTCAGAGGTAATGCACATCAGAGTACTGAACAAGGTGCTCTAGATGTCTTGTGACCACATTTAATTATCTAAAACGTAATGTGTTGTGTATACCAATGGGTGTGAACACAGAAATGAATGTGCAAAGGAAATACATTTTCGCGCCCGATTAATTGGGGGTCACAAGACATCTGGACCACCCTGCACTGTGATTTATGGTTTAAAACACTTAAACATCGTGCAAACTGCACAAAACACGACAAACACATCACATTACCTCATGAACACACTCCCAGAATACTCGCATCACTAGGATAATATAAGAAAACTGCACACATATAACAGTACTTACATGCCAAAGGCACAAGACAAATACACGCAATATATCAAACATAAAAGTATACCTCAACAATACACAAAACAATCTCCATATATTCTAGATTTGAAGCTTTCGTGACTGCAAGGATTCATACTCTTTGGTTTTATTCGGTAAAGTCACGTAGGTAAAATAAAATAAAACAATTAAATTACGACGTTCCGGAGGCAACACAAGCTTCCGTCTTCAGGTGGAACAGTCACAGCAAAATCTTGATTGAATTGTTTTCTTTTATTTTGTTTTATTTTATTTTACCTACGTGACTTTACCGAATAAAACCAAAGAGTATAATCTCCATATATATGAAAGGCAAAGTTGTGAATGTGCCTGTTCAAAATGTTTAGCGTACTTCCCGACATGCAACAAACTGGAAATTTGCCATGTGGGTACTTTCCAGACTGTACACCATGCAAAAATTATAAAAATACACTTTTGTGTTTTTTTGGGGGGGAGCACAATAATACATTTATTTTTTGCACGGCAAGTGAGCTGTGACGTCAAATCTGTCACGTGACCCGCGCGTGGAAGCGTAACGCGTTGTAGTGTAGTGGTTAGCACGCTGTGTGTGTGTGTAATCTGTGTGTGTGTGTAATCTGTGTGTGTGGAAGCGTAACGCATTGTAGTGTAGTTGTTAGCACGCTGTGTGTGTGTGTAATCTGTGTGTGTAATCTGTGTGTGTGTGGAAGCGTAACGCATTGTAGTGTAGTGGTTAGCACGCTGTGTGTGTGTAATCTGTGTGTGTGTGGAAGCGTAACGCATTGTAGTGTAGTGGTTAGCACGCTGTGTGTGTGTGTAATCTGTGTGTGTGGAAGCGTAACGCATTGTAGTGTAGTGGTTAGCACGCTGTGTGTGTGTAATATGTGTGTGTGTGGAAGCGTAACGCGTTGTAGTGTAGTGGTTAGCGCGCTGTGTGTGTGTAATCTGTGTGTGTGTAATCTGTGTGTGTGGAAGCGTAACGCATTGTAGTGTAGTGGTTAGCACGCTGTGTGTGTGTGTAATATGTGTGTGTGTGGAAGCGTAACGCGTTGTAGTGTAGTGGTTAGCGCGCTGTGTGTGTGTAATCTGTGTGTGTGTAATCTGTGTGTGTGTAATCTGTGTGTGTGTAATCTGTGTGTGTGTGTAATGTGTGTGTGTAATCTGTGTGTGTGTGTAATCTGTGTGTGTGTAATCTGTGTGTGTGTGTAATGTGTGTGTGTGTAATCTGTGTGTGTGTAATCTGTGTGTCTGTGTGTGTGTAATCTGTGTGTGTGTGGAAGCGTAACGCGTTGCAGTGTAGTGGTTAGCACGCTGTGTGTGTGTAATCTGTGTGTGTGTAATCTGTGTGTGTAATGTGTGTGTGTGTAATCTGTGTGTGTAGTGGTTAGCACTACGCTGCGCTACGAACCCGGTGACCCGAGTTCGATTCCCGCTCACGGCCACCACCGGTGACGATTATTTCAACCGCTTCTGGGCCTCCCCTAGGTCGACTCAGCCTCAAACGCGTGACTGCTGTGGTGTGTGAACATCGCTATTGGGGAGACAAAGGCGGCCGGGCGTGGTGAATTCAAGTCCCGGGCGAAGCCGGGTAGTTAAGCTAGTACCTTATAAAAAAAACATAAACTTACCTCATAAACACACAGGAGACACGAAATAAACACCTCACAATATTCAAAGCACCGCAAACGCTCTAAAACAGTTTACACTTCATGAACACCCAACAGTATTCTTGGTTCTTTCGGTAAAGTCACGTAGAAGGGAACAATAAAATAATAAAAATATAAAACAATAAAATTCTCACGACGTTTCGACTGCAACACAAGCAATCATCACCTGATGATCATCACCTGATGATGATTGCTTGTGTTGCAGTCGTGATAATTTTGTTTTATATTTTTATCATTTTATTGTTTCCCTTCTACGTGACTTTACCGAAAGAACCAAGACTATACCTCACAAATACTCAAAAACAAATCTTCATTACTCATCGCAATAATAAAATTACCTCACAAATGACGCAACAGCAGTAGTAGTACCCTGTTGTGTGCGGGTGCGAGGGGTGGAATGGGGGGGGGGTCGCGCGGGGAATTCGAGCGCGCGCTGTGGAGGAGGGGGCGGGGTGGAGGAGGGGGCGGGGTGGAGGAGGGGGCGGGGTGGAGGAGGGGGCGGGGTGGGGGTGAGGAGAGGGGAGGGGCTATTGGACAAACGGTGCCCGCTGTTTGTGATGAACCCATTGGGCTGATACAGAGGGCGGGAGCGGTGGTGCAGCGGTTGGCGCGCTGTGCCACGTTACCAACTCGGCCACACGAATTCGATTCCCGCTCACGGACAACATCCGTCACTATTATTATGGAACCGATGCGGACCTCCCTTAGTTAGACTCAGCCTCAAATGAGTACCTGGCGTGGTGTGTAAACATCGCCACTAGAGAGACAAAGGCGGTCGGGGGTGGTGCTGGCCACCCACCCTCACGGCTACCGTTCGGGCCTCCACAGGTGATCGCGAACGGCACCAGTTCCAAAAGTATGTTCAGACTGTATGGCGGATCTGAGTCTTTTGGTGATATTCTCAATATGCATTTCCACGAACGCAAAATCGTCGTGGGGCAGAGGGGGCGGATTATTTGACCATACTTCACCAAGCGGGTCAGTGCGGTTTTGTGGAGAGGGGCGAGAGCGGTTCAGATATCAGTCGCCACTGATGTTAGCCGTGGCTGGATATCGAACTCGGGTCGCTGGGCTTATGTTGCAGTTCGCTCACCACCGATCCTTGTTAAAAGTACATGTTTTCACTGTATTGGTGTTGAATTCACCTTGAGAGGCGACCTTGACCATTATCCATACAGGTGGAGGGGTAATGCATGGCATTACCGTGAGGGCATCGCAGCAGCTTGGGGAAGCCTTCATCCAGCCAGTGCCGGATTATTATCCCAGTAGCAAAAGTAGCTGCAATGGAGCACCTACGGGCCCCGCACTTTTAAGGGCATCGCGCTAAACGCTTTCAAGCTATCAATTCTGGTTCAGTGATTCTGCACTTGCTCTATTACTATAGTACTATACTGCCTTCAAGTTTTATGAGCGACTGGGTGTTTAAGGTTAGCGATTTGTCGTATTATCTGGCTTTATAGCAAATGCAAACATACAATTACTTTACTATGCAAGTAAAACAATTGTGTTTTAATATTCATGTTTATTCTGATGTAGGGCCCCTTTATAACATATGCTACAGGCCCCGCACTAGCTTAATCCGGCACTGTATCCAGCGGTGAATAAATCATGTCTGAGTAAATGTACTTTGATAAAAATTCTCCACGTAACTGTAATAAACATTGAATCCATAGCCCAGGGGCAAAACTCCAAACCAAGGAATCGTGCTGGCTGGATGTTGTACAGCGGTCTGACACACGCGGGCGGTGCCCAGCCTCCATTCCCACACCACTGGTTCGACCACTCACCAGCCTCACCAAACACCCACAGGATTCCCACCAGACACTCACTAGACCCACCACTCCCTCACCAATTATCACCAGCCCTCACCCAGCTTCACCAGACCCTCGCCATCCTCACCAGACAACATCTGTTCCCACTAGAAAGCTGGCACCGCCAGGTTAGCGTCCGGGGCGCGGCTGGCGCCTCAAGCCCCTCCCCCCCCCCCTGAGCCGCACGCGCCTGGGCCCATCACGCATCCCCCAACTTGCCAATGCGGTGCTTTTGCGTCATATGCAAATCTTGCAAATGTTCTTGGCACAGGGAGTTTGACGGAACGGATGTTTACGACACCTACACCAATAACGTCTCACCCCGGTGACGAGGAGATGTTATTTCTCATGGCCTGGTAACGAACATCCCGGACCCTGACGATACATGTGGTATATTTTGAGTAGACATGATCTCTCCCCGTGCTGGTCTTGTGGATGCAACCCCCCCCCCCCCACACTGTTTACATTTAGGAACATGCGTTTAGTTTAGTTGGCTACAAATATAAATTTCCACATGATATGCCACTTCGATGAACTATCAGGTGTGGCCAGGTCGCCTCTGAAATGTTTTAAAAGCTCTGTGGGCTGTCTGGCAAATAGAATAGTTTGGTGTTAGTTTCGGAGAGGGCATCCGTCTCTTTATATCACGAGTATTCCACCAGTGTCATGACAGTTGTAATGCATGCCTATTACCTGTCATGGTACCTGGATCAGAAACACGGGCCAGAGGTCGAACACATGCTGTACAAGAGCACAACAGAGCACAGAGGGGTGAATGCCTGGGATAGCACTGAGAGAAAGAAAGAACAACAACGTGGAATA